CAAGTCACTTTCCTTCCCCGGGCCTCAACTTCCTCATCTGTTAAAATGAGACAAGGATGCCTGGGGTGCGAGGTTGTTACAGAGATTCAAGGTTTATGAAACCATCTGCTGTGGTACCCAGTACATGGTAGTTGCTCGGTGAATTTTAACTTACTTTCTCTTTATTCCAACAATGCTGCTGTTACGGAAACAGTTTGGGAATTTCACTTTTGAAATAGTTTTCAGAGCTTGCTACACACCACCAGAATTATCTCAGTGGGAGAAATCTTTTTTCTTTGAGAATATGTTTGATTTTTAGAAAGAGCTTGGTTCACAGAGGAAGACCAAGGTGGAAGACCAAATATTTAATATCAAAAATATTAAGTATTTTTGATAATTAATAAAAGTATGATTAATGAGGTTTTCTTCTGTAGTATCTAAATTGATACATATTCTGGCTTTCTCACAGATAGGACTGACAGCATATTCCATTTGACACATTAAAATTCAGGAAATTAACTATCAGGAAAGTCTTTTGATTTTGAATAGCACTCTGATAAAATAAGCAGTGTTGGTAAGCTCAAGAGAGACATCTTTAGTAATATTCTTAATTACAAGTTAACCATCAGAATTTTACTTCTAGTGAAAAAGAATTGAGAAAACAGGTGCTAGCCCATATTCTTGTCCATATTTGGGACTATTCTCTTGCCAGCTAGATCCATAGGAATCTGTGGCAGAAATGTGAGGAAGATGGTCTCTGCTATGACCCAGTGGAGCCAGAACCTTCAGATGCCTGTCCCTAGGAAAAGGGAGGAGCCGGCTGGGGAAAGGATAGGGACAGAGACAGGCAGACTTTGCTTTTATAGAAGCAGAGAGGACTTGTACAGCATGATCCTCAGGATATGTTTGTAGAATCAGAGATTGGAGGCACAGGTTAATCCCTGTACTAGGAAAGGCATTAAAGCAGGTAGTAGGAGGAGCAGTCAGCCAGGCTGGAAGCGGTACCCTCAGGGTAGGGGAGAAGCTGGATTGGGGATTCCAGTCCAGGGGGATCTGGTCACAATGCTCAGGTTACCACACGGAACCTAGTTGTATTCTCTGATGCATGGTTGCTGACGGCTCAGTATTTTACCTTGTATAAAAGATTATGAATGTGAGGGATCAAGTCAACTATAAAGGGTTGTGGACATGTTAAGTATTTTAAAATGTGTTACTAGTTTGTACACTGAATTTTCCTTATCGTGTGTGTGTGTGTGTGTGTGTGTGTGTGTGTGTGTGTGTGTTGGAGAGAGAACTGCATGAATATCAGTGGGTCTTGGGTGAGGGTGGAGAGGAAGCTTGTACAACTAACTCCCTTTGCCACCGGGTGGTCGTGGAGCAGTGTCACTCAGGCAAGTGGGGACTGAGCCTGGCAATAAGGTCCCTATGAGCGAGACTTCACAAGGGACTGGTGCCCATAAGGTCTTGGTTAGAGCACAGCGTGCACTTTGAGGTAGTGGTGTCGTTGTGATTTTAACGGCACATGGATCAGAGGTTAGATGGGCAGCACTGGTCCCTCCCCTGATTGGAGCTGAATGCTCTGTGAAACCTGACAGTGACTGCACCTGTGGCAAAATGCAAGGGGTGGCTTATTTTAGTTCAACCTCAGATACCAAAATTAGATGTGAATTACTGTAAAAATGCAACATTTGAGGACTTTGATGTTACGAGAAAGGTCTAAAAAGAGAATGTAAGTGAAATACCCATTTCTCTTAATTCTTTTCTATAAATTATTTATTGGTCATCCTTTCTGGGTACTTGTTTTCTTAACTTCAACCTAATTAAGAACAGTTATCTTAGGGCCAGCAACATGTATTAGAGATGCCTCTTACAAGAAAGCTCTGGAGCCCTGTGGGCAAGCAGCCATTTATTTTATTTTATTTATTTATTTTTAAATACTCACCTGAGGATATGTTTTATTTTTGTTTGTTTTTTAAATTAATTTTAGAGGGAGAGGAGGAAAGGAAGAGAGAGAGGAAGAGAACGAGAAGAGAGAAAGAAACACCGATGTGAGAGAGAAACATTGGTTGCTTCCTGTACCCATCCTGACCAGGAGAAGGAAAGGAAGAGAGAGAGAGAAGAAAGAGAGGAAGAGAACGAGAAGAGAGAAAGAAACACCGATGTGAGAGAGAAACATTGGTTGCTTCCTGTACCATCCTGACCAGAATAGAACTTCAACCTTTTTTTTTCTTAATTTATCTTTATCATTGAAAGTATTACAGATGTCTTCTTTTCCTCCCATTAATCCCCTCCACCCGACTCCTACCCCTTCCCCACAGTATAGTTTGTCCATGGACTATGCATATATGTATATAAGTTCTTTGCTTAATCTCTTCCCAGCCCCCCTCTCTGAAATACATCAGTCTTTTGCATGCTTTAATGTATTTAAGTGAGATCATGATATTTGTCTTTCTCTGATTTTGCTTATTTTGCTTAGCATAATATTCTCCAGGTCCCTCCACTGCATGAATATCAGTGGGTCTTGGGTGAGGGTGGAGAGGAAGCTTGTACAACTAACTCCCTTTGCCACCGGGTGGTCGTGGAGCAGTGTCACTCAGGCAAGTGGGGACTGAGCCTGGCAATAAGGTCCCTATGAGCGAGACTTCACAAGGGACTCGTGCCCATAAGGTCTTGGTTAGAGCACAGCATGCACTTTGAGGTAGTGGTGTCATTGTGGTTTTAACGGCACATGGATCAGAGGTTAGATGGGCAGCACTGGTCCCTCCCCTGATTGGAGCTGAATGCTCTGTGAAACCTGACAGTGACTGCACCTGTGGCAAAATGCAAGGGGTGGTTTATTTTAGTTCAACCTCAAATACCAAAATTAGATGTGAATTACTGTAAAAATGCAACATTTGAGGACTTTGATGTTACGAGAAAGGTCTAAAAAGAGAATGTAAGTGAAATACCCATTTCTCTTAATTCTTTTCTATAAATTATTTATTGGTCATCCTTTCTGGGTACTTGTTTTCTTAACTTCAACCTAATTAAGAACAGTTATCTTAGCAGGGCCAGCAACATGTATTAGAGATGCCTCTTACAAGAAAGCTCTGGAGCCCTGTGGGCAAGCAGCCATTTATTTTATTTTATTTATTTATTTTTAAATACTCACCTGAGGATATGTTTTATTTTTGTTTGTTTTTTAAATTAATTTTAGAGGGAGAGGAGGAAAGGAAGAGAGAGAGGAAGAGAACGAGAAGAGAGAAAGAAACACCGATGTGAGAGAGAAACATTGGTTGCTTCCTGTACCCATCCTGACCAGAATAGAACTTCAACCTTTTTTTTCCTTAATTTATTTTTATCATTGAAAGTATTACAAATGTCTTCTTTTACCCCCATTAATCCCCTCCACCCCACTCCTACCCCTTCCCCACAGTATCGTTTGTCCATGGAATATGCATATATGATATAAGTTCTTTGCTTAATCTCTTCCCAGCCCCCCTTTCTGAAATACGTCAGTCTTTTGCATGCTTCAGTGTCTATAAGTGAGATCATGTGATATATGTCTTTCTCTGACTGGCTTATTTTGCTTAGCATAATATTCTCCAGGTCCCTCCATGCTTTTTTAAAGGGTGAGAGATCCTTCTTTTTTACTGCTGCATAGTATTCCATGTGTCACTGGGCTCCAGTCAAGGTGTCCACAAGAGCTTCGCTTCTTCTGGAGGCTCTAGGGAGGAACCCATTTCCTTGTCCTTCCAGCTTCTGTCCACATCCCTGACTTCCGTCTTCAAAACCAGCAAGGTTGCCGCTCTGAACATTGTCCCATAATCAGATTTGCCACTCATCACAGCCAGCAAAATTTCCCTGTGATTAACTTAGGCACACCTTCACAGTCCATAATAGCCTCCCCAGCTCCACCCCTAAATTAATCACATCTGTAAGGTTACGTCCTCTCTGGTTCTGGGGATTACGATGGATGTTTTAGGGAGCATTAATCTGCCTGCCTTATACTGAAATAATTAACAGTGTTTCATTCAGAGAAAGTATTTTTTCAGACATGGTCATAATTTGTTATAAGGTCTTTACTGCAACCTTTTTGATGTAGGGATGATGCTCCAACCAGCTGAGCCACCAGTGCAGCAGTCAGCCATTTAAAGTGCTCTTATGATATAAATAATAAGCACATTTTAGAGAACGTATTTTGATAGAATTTTTTTTTTATTTTTGCAAGCCAAAATTTTGCCTCATGCCACAATTTTCCATTTATGATAAGTGAATGTTGGACAGTGTTATAAAAAAAAAAGAGTTAGATAAAACAGTAGCAGAAGCAACTAAACATCAAATTTATTTCTGGTGAATAACCTAAGGATTTCCACTGGGTAAGAAAATGCAGGGTAGGTGCAGTACTTTTCTATGGCTGCCCTAACAAATTATCACAAAGTTAGTCATTTAACACAGCACAGTCTATTATCTTACATTTCTGTGGGTTAGAATCCAACACAGGTCTCACTGGGCTCCAGTCAAGGTGTCCACAAGAGCTGCGCTCCTTCTGGAGGCTCTAGGGAGGAACCCATTTCCTTGTCCTTCCAGCTTCTAGGTGGTGTCCACATCCCTGACTTCTGTCTTCAAAACCAGCAAGGTTGCCTCTCTGAACGTTGTCCCATAATCGGATTTGCCGTTCATCACAGCCAGCAAAATTTCCCTGTGATTAACTGAGGCACACCTTCACAGTCCATAATAGCCTCTCCAGCTCCACCCCTAAATTAATCACATCTGTAAGGTAACGTCCTCTCTGGTTCTGGGGATTACGATGGATGTTTCAGGGAGCATTAATCTGCCTGTTTTATACTGAAATAATTAACACAGTTTCAGAGAAAGTATTTTTCAGACATGGTCATAATTTGTTATAAGGTCTTTAAGAAACTTTCACTTGGGTATTTTGTAGGGAAGGTTGTACATATTTTTAAAAAACCACAAGTTTTGTTTGGATTTTGGCCTACTTATTAAAGCTAACGCTCACTATATTTTGTTTGCTTTGATAGTGATAACCTGCTAAGGAGAGCAGCCTGTCAAGAAGCTCAGGTAATGCCATTTGCTGTGGAACAGTGAGAACCACCTTGTCTCTGTTGTGCAGAAAACTCGAGCTATTCCAGGGCACTGTGCAGTGCCTTGCATCTGGGAGGTCTGGCTGTTTTTTCCCACTGTCAGGGGATGAATCAGGCTAAGAGCCAACTCTGAATAGAACCAGAGGAAATTGACCATCTGGTGAAGAGCAGTTCTAACACCCACCTCTTTAGATTTGTTTACTTCTGGATTAGTCCTGAGAGCACATGGGAATTAGTTCCCATCTGTAGTTGTCCTTGAGGATGGGACATCCTGAATCATCCCTGATCCGAATAACCCCCAAAGGTATCAGTTCAGAACAGGTGTTACCTCTTCAAGTCAAAACTTGTTATAATTGTTGGTTCATATTTTAAAGCCTTTCTCTTTTAGCCCAACTGACTCATACCATATGCATTGTTATCCAGCCCATAGAGAGTGACTTAAATATTCATGCATCTCGCTGTATTAGTTGCAGTTGACTTGTGAATCCTTTTAAGTTAAAGACCATATTTTTGGTCTTCCCTTTCCTCCAAATTTGTACATTCTACCTTGCAGGTGAATTTCCATGACTGAGTTGCCCTTTTGTTATATGACATTTAAGTTTATGATGTCAGAAATACCAAAAAAAGAAACAGGAATTCAAAAAGGTATGATGCTTATAGTAGGAGACGTGGGTGGTGAGCGTACTGATTGTTCCTGAAATGTTTTCATGGATGACAGCGACAGTGACAATAGGTACTATTGGTAAACTCCTCTCTTGAGTGGTTATCTAATTGTTCTAAATCTGTATTTCCAGAATTTTATTACTTCTTTGCTTGTTTTATCTCATATGACTCTAGTTATTTTGGAAATCAAACTTTATATTCAAGTTGAGGTGGTCCCCACCCCAAGCTAATTTGCCATTAGCAACTGGAAAGTTCCTTGGGACGGGGAACCTTTTTTTCTAAGAAAAGAATGGTCGTAGGGTCCTCCCCTTCTTAAGAAAGATGCCTCCACCTCTGTCCTGAATTTCATCTCCTCTTACTTTTTCAGAGACTCTGTTCCTTGAGTTGTTTCCCCCTTCTTATATTTTACCTCTTCCCACTGTTCTAATTCTCCACTTCCCAGGACACGTTTAGCTCCTCTCTCTGATGTAAGTGAATTCATTCTTATAGCCTAGTTACTTTAGGCTATAAGTTATTTTAGTTACTTTTCCTGTTTATGCCCTTCCCTTCACAGTCTAAATTCTTGAAAAAATATGATTCTTTTTTATTTCATGAAAACTTAAGCTCACTGTAGTCTTACATAAACTCATTTACCAGCTGTAAACTTGAGACTTGAGTTGCAAGAGACTAGAAACCAGGACAAGGAGGAATAATCTGGAACTATAGATCTGGAGTCAGGTTGGAATAGGAACCTGGTTCATTATATTCTTTCTGGCCACATTGCAGAAATAATATGGATAGAACAAGAACAAATTATAATATTTGGAGATTTGGCAGCAAAATGTTAAGGTCTAATTCAGTAAGAGTGAAAACAGAGTAGAAATTATAATGTACCAGAATTTTTTTTTAACAAAGAAACAGTATGTCTTTCTGAAGTATTCAGAAAAAGTTTTTTTGTTTTTTTTAAAAGCAGGAAATAGACAATGGTGAGAAAGGATCTCCAGTGGACTCTCAGGGTGGAGGTGGAGTTAGAGGCAGCTATTTAGTAAAAACCTCATTAACTTTCATTTTTTCCTGTATTTACTTTGTACTTCCATAGTTGAATTCTGCCTTCTTGGCCCAGACCTGCTCCCCACCATCTAAGACTTGGAATTTCGCCCTTTGTGGTGCTTTCTTCCTCCCATTCTTTTTGTTGATCTTGTCTAACCCAGACGCAATAGCAGTAGCTCCCTCTAGTCCCCAGGCCTAGACCTCTGCTTCTTCATTCTGCCTTGTCCTCGATCTGCTCTTTAGAGTTGATAAAGTAGGAAAAGTTTGGGTTTTGTTGTTAGATAGATGTAAATTCTAGGCTGCAATTTATTAACAATGTGACTTTGAGTTAATTTTTCTGAATCTTGTTTTTCTAATTTATAAAAAAGGGAATATTTAAGACCTCTGAGATTTCTGAGAACTAAGAATAATGTGTGAAAGTGGCAAATACGAGGTGCTAAGTAAACATTAATTACATTTCTTTCCCTGTGACAGGGGATGCTATTTAGTTATCATACAGGGTAGCAAAGAAGAGAATGCAGATAGCATATTAGGGTTATTTGATATATATATATATATATACACACACACACACACACACACACACACATATAAAATCTATAAAGATATGAAGATTAATAGATTAATAACACAAAGATTCTTCATGAATAAGCTTTAGTAATAAGTTGAAGTAGAAAAAGATTATACTCTGAAATCTAAAGACAAGTGGATTAAAATTCCCTTCTGACAGACTGATGTCTTACTCATCTTGGGTTTATAATAAACATAGCCATATCATATGGAGAAAAGAAAAGTTACTTCTAGTAGGTAAAGTAGGGTTTGTTTACTATAATATACAATTCAGCTTATTAAATAATGGCACACTTTTGTGCTGTTGTTTATGGTGTTTTTGTGAATATGAAATCATGAGAACATTTTTTTCTGCTGGAGTAGATATTACATCTTCTGGGAGTAAATTCTTTTGGAACAAAATAATATATGTGATCACTAACTGAATAAAAGGACATTGACTTACAACTTGTCTTTTTTCCTTTTTAGGTGTTTGGCAATCAGCTCATTCCTCCCAATGCACACGTGAAGAAGGCAACCGTCTTTCTCAACCCTGCAGCCTGCAAGGGGTGGGTGGCTTGTTACCTATTCAGGCTTCATAAAGTGAAAAAGTCAGACTATCAGGCAGCTAGTTGGATTGTTTGGGGTTGGAAGGACTAGGTTCAATACTCTTCTAGCGATAACAGATTTATTTGTAATGGAGAAATAATGGTTAATGGGGTACAACTGTAAAACTAACTGATGCTTAGCAAACTTGTCTAATCGAAGTTCACTAATCATTCCAGAATTAACACTCGCAAATAAGTCTTCTCTGCTTGACAGTAGCCCCTTGGGAAGACTCCTGCTGCTGTGATGTAAATTATTAGACCTTCTCTGTTACGAGATGTTCAGAGATGGCCCAAGGCTCTGTGGGCTTGCAAGGTCAAAAACACTCTTTCTGTGATCCCTGAGCCAGGTCTTGGAGGTCAGTAGAGGGAGAACACTCAGTCTTCTTGACTGAGGACATGTCCATGGGACAGGGGTCTGGAGACAGGAGTAACTAATCATGTCTCTTGCTATGTATGTCACAGGATAGTCAGTGAACTGGTCTGGCTGGCCTGGAAAGGTCGTGTGAGGGAATTGTGGCAATTAAGGTGTGAAGAATACTTAGATAATACTTGGATAATAATTGTGTCCATGTTCATTTATTCTAACAAATGTCCCACACTGGTTGTTGAAAGTGGGGTAGGCTGTGTGTGTAAGGGGGCAAGGAATTTGAGGGAACTCTTTGTACTTTTTTTTAAAAAATTAAAAAAATTTTTGGTAACATTGGATAATAACATGTTTCAGGCATGCAGTTCTGTAATACATCATCTGTATATTGCATTATGTGCTCACCACCCAAAGTCTAGTCTTCTTCTATCACCATGTATTTGACCTCCTTTACCCTTTTCATCCTCCCCCTCTTTCCTTCCTCTCTGTTATCTGTCAATGAGTTTATTTTTGTTTGTTTGTTGCTTTCTATTTTATATCCCACACTAGAGGCTCAGTGCACAAATTTGTGCACCAGTGGGGTCCCTCGGCCTGGCCTACGAGATTGGGCCAAAACCGGCTCTCCGACATCCCCCGAGAGGTCCCGGATTGCGAGAGGGCTCAGGCCAGGCTGAGGGACCAGACTGGTGCATGATAGGGGCAGGGAGGGACGTGGGAGGTTGGCCAGCCAGAGAGGGACCGCTCCAGGGTGTGTCCGGCCTGTCTCGCTCAGTCCTGATCAGCCGGACCCCAGCAGCAAGCTAACCTACCAGTCGGAGCGTCTGCCCCCTAGTGGTCAGTACATGTCATAGTGAGCTGTTGAGTGGCCTTAGCATATCATTAGCATATTATGCTTTGATAGGTTGAATGGATGACCGGACACTTAGCATATTAGGTTTTTATTATATAGAATATGAGTGAAATCATATGGTTCTTATCCTTTAGCATCTGACTTATTTCACTTAGCACGATACTCTTAGGATCTATGTTGTCGAAATGGCAATATTTCATCTTTTTTATGTCTGAGTAGTATTCCATTGTGTATATGTACCACATCTTCTTTATTCAGTCATCTGTCGTGAGGTTGTTTCCATATCTTGCTATTAAGAATAATGCTGCAGTGAACATATGCGTACATATATCTGTACGAATAAATGTTTTCACATTTTTCAGGAAGGTACCCAAAGAGGGATTGCTGGGTCATATGGTAGCTCTGTTGTTAATTTTTGAGGGACCTCTATACTGTTTTCCATGGTGGCTGTATACATTTATATTCCCACCAGCAATGTCTGAGGATTCTTTCTTGTCCACATCCTCTCCAACATTTATTTCTTTGTCTTATTGATGATAACCCTTCGAGTAGGTGTGAACTGGTATCTCATTGTGTTTTGATTTACATTTCACTTATAGCTAATGAAGTTGAGCATTTTCTTATGTATCTGTTGGCCATCTGTATGTCTTCTTAGGAAAATGTCTATTCAGGTCTTCTGCCTTTTTTAAAATTGGATTTTTTGTTGTTAATTATATGAGTTCTTTTTATATTTTGAATATTAATATTAGCCCCTTATCGGAGGTATCATTTGCAAATACCTTTTCCCTTTCAGTTGGTTGCCTTTTTTGTTTTGTTGATGGTGTTTCTTTTGCTGTGCAGAAGCGCTTTTTTAAAAATTATATTTTTATTAATTTCAGAGAGGAAGGAAGAGGGAGAGAGAGATAGAAACATCAATGATGAGAGAGAATCATTGATTGGCTGCCTCCTGCACGTTCCCTACCAGCGGTCGAGTCCGCAGCCTGGGCATGTGCCCTTGACTGGAATCGAACCTGGGACCCTTTAGTCCGCAGGTCGATGCTCTATCCATTAAGCTAAACCAGCTAGGGCTGTGCAAAGGCTTTTTAGTTTGATATAGTCTCATTCATTTATTTTTGGTTTTACTTCTCGTGCCTTTGGTGTCAAGTTCACAAAAACCCCTCTGAGAACACGGTCCATAAGTTTAGTCCCTATGCTTTCTTCTACATATTTTGTTTCAGGTGTTATGTTTAAGTCTTTAACCCATTTTGAGTTAATTTTTCTGTATGGTATCTGATAGCAGTGTCTGGTTTTATTATTTTGCATGTGGCTTTCCAATTCTTCCAACACCATTTATTGAAGAGGCTTTCCTTTCTCCATTGTATGTTTTTGGCTCCTTTGTTGAAAATTAATTGTCCATATATGTGTGGGCTTGTTTCTGGGCTCTCAGTTCTGTTCCATTGGTCTGTATGCCTATTTTTTTTTTATTTTTTATTTTTGCTAACACCATACTGTTTTGATTATTGTAGCTTTCTAGTATAATTTTATATCAGGGAGCATGATACCTCCCACTTTGTTCTTTTTAAAGATTTCTTTGGCTATTTGGGGTCTTTGTGGTTCCATATAAATTTTAGGATTAGTTGTTCTAATTCTGAGAAGAATGCCATTGGTATTTTAATAGGGATTGAATTGAATCTGTATATTACTTTAGGTAGTAAGGATAGTTTAACAATATTAATCCTCTCAATTTATGAGCAAGGTATATCCTTCCATTTATTTGTATCTTGTTTAATTTCTTTTTCCAGCTTCTTTTAGTTTTTGGTATACTGGTCTTTCACCTCTTTGGTTAAATTTAGTCCTAGGTATTTTATACTTTTTAATGCAATTGTGGATGGGATTGATTTCTTATTTTTTCTTATTCATTATTGGTGTACAGAAATGCAATAGATTTCAATATATTGATTTTGTGTCCTACAACTTTACTAAAGCTATTTATTAGTTCTAACAGTTTTTGGGTGCAGTCTTTCAACTTTTCTATATGTAGTATATTGTCATTTGCAAATGATGAGAGTTTTACTTTCCATTTTGTATGCCTTTAATTTCTTTGTCTTGTCTGATTGCTGCGGCTTGGACTTCAGTGCTATGCTGAATAGAAGTGGTGAGAGTGGGCATCCTTGTTTTATTCCTGATCTTAGAGGAAAGGCTTTCAGCTTCTGAAATAAGCTTCTCTAGTAATTTCTTGGGACGGAGTGCGGCTTCACAAGTGTGAGGACAAGTCATGCCTTCTTTTAAGTCAGTAGCTTAAGATATTTACCTACAGATTGTTTAAATTGGCTCTATTGCTCTGCCTAATTGAGCCCTATTTGCCTGACATCGTTAAAGCCACTTCCTTCCCCATAAACACACCAGTCATAATGCCTATTGATCATTCTTGTTTAACAACATTACTAAACAATACCAACAATTGAACAGGTCCTAACACAACACAACAATAACTGAGTGGTCAGTGGTGGTCTGTGTCAGAATGCCACAGAACTCGGTGGGCTTCATAGTTAGAAGGATCAGATCTGAAGACTCTTTTCTGCTGTGTGATACTGTGGGAGCTACTTAATTTAAATGCTCAGTTTACTCATTTGTAAAATGGGAGAATAGCCATCCCATATAAAATTACCATATATATAGGTGCCTTTAGATTAAATGAAATGATGCCTTTGAAGTGTTTGGCTTATTTCCATTTCACAGTAAGCATGGATAAAAGGAATATAAGCTGCTGCTGCTGTTATTTACCTGCAGGCTGGGTTCACAACATTCTCTACTTTGCTCTCCCACCCTTCCCGAAAGTCCTTGCACCTTTCCTGCTGCCTCCTTGAACTACTCTAGGTCCTATTCCCTTAGAAACCTAGTAAGTTAGCAACTTGCTAATTCTGATGAAGGAAAATATATGGCAATATATTTTTGAGGTATAATCAGTTATTTTGAGTTTCTGCTTCTAAGAGATACGTACATTTTTTAAAAATTAAAACTATTTTTAGGTCCGTTTACATTTTTACATATAAATGTGTTTGCATTTTTTAAAGGTAGATTATTGTTTTAAAAATGTAACATCTTTCTCTAAGGATGAGGCTAAGGAAAGGCTTTCTCTCTTAAAGTCACTGTCCCTTTAGCAGGCGAATCCCTGCACAGCCTAGGAAGCAGCCACTCTGGAACTCTCCAGCATCTCTTTAAAGCTTTCACCAAAATTGCACTCTTTTTGTCATCTTGACTCTGCTCTGACACATAATTAATAACTTATTGTGTAGCTATTTCATCATGTAGTACTGGTTTAAAAGTATGTAAGAGCTTTAAGAAATAAGATGACTGTGTGTTTAGCATTAATAAATAATACATTAAGGAGTAATTCTTTTTTTTTGTGCATGTGTGAACTTGGAAATTGCTACAAGTATATAAAGTTTTTATTTCCGGTGCTATCTCACCCTTTATATAATAATGCATTTCTTACTGGTAGCACCTGTTTTTCAACCTTTTATATAGAACGTTAGAAGGGGAAAAAATGTCTTCACTTTTATTTCAGAAATTTTCTGTACCCATAGCATCACATAAAAGCGTGAATAAAGTCCAAATGTTCCAGTCTTACTTCTTAAGCCAACATAAAGGAGTTTACAGATTTTCTGTAATGATGAATATAGCAGATTGAGACTTCTCCAGAGTCTTGCTTCTCAGAGTTAGATCCAGTCCACTTCCAGCAGATCTTTTCTCATCACTCTAGTAATGAAAGCACCCCAGGAAGGAGAAATATTTGCATTATCACTGCCTCAGCCATTATTGTCCGGTTAAGGCCCAGAAATGGTGAGCTGGGAAGGAGAAACTTCCATTTAGTTTTTCATGTTCATTCTATTAAGCATTCAGAGCAGCAGTAAAGATAGGGGACATTTGTTTAATTTGCTTTTTACCTGCTCAGTTAGGCCCTTGGTTTGAGATATTCTCTTGAATGGTTCTTGTGAACATGTATCCAAGCTTCTCAATTTCCATTTAATTCATAATAGGAAAGGTTTTGTGTTCTGTCTCATTGGTGGTTATTCTCTTTAGTGTAGAGGATGTTGAGTTTGGTCTATACGTGTTCCTCACTGGCTACCTCTGCATCTCTTTCTAGTATAAAACGTAGTCTAGAAAGTCAAAGCATGCATCACTGGTTTAAAAAAAATTTTTTTTGAAAGAGAGCTGAGTAATGTGGATGTAAAAGTTAGATGTTTGGCTAGTTGAATTTTTTAAAATTTTTATTGATTTCAGAGAGGAAGGAAGAGGGAGAGAGAGAGATAGAAACATCCACGATGAGAGAGAATCATGGATCGGCTGCTTCCTGCAAGTCCCCCACTGGGGATCGAGCCTACAACCGGGCATGTGCCCTTGACCGGAATCAAACCTGAGACCTTTCGGTCCCCAGGCCAACACTCTATCCACTCTGCCAAACTGGCTAGGGCTAGTTGACTGTTTTGAAAGTACTAATAAGTTGACCTGTCTTTTACCCAAACATTTCTCCAGGGATTTTATTCAACTTTGAGACTATGCAATTGGGGACTTTTCTGCAACTTCTACATCCTTTGATTCCTAGGCGTTTTCGAATCCTGACATGACTTGGACAAGAGTCACTATTGGAATGATGTGTATGAGACTTTTAAAATACACAAACTCTTCTAAGTGCTTTGTAACTGTTGCTCTTGTTAAAGACATCACAATCATGTCATTTCCTTTTCCTCAGAATTTACAGGCCTGCATTTTTGGGATGGGTTTATTCATTCATTTGTTTATTAACTCATTAGATACTTATTAAATATGTTCTACCTGTGCCAGACATACTCCTGGAGGCTAGGGAATTCGGGGACGCATAAGATTTGGTGTCTGTTTTTGCAAGGCTTCAAGCCTAGTCCTGAAGATTGTCTTGCAATTCACTAGTCGTCATTTGCTATGAAAGTTCCCAAGACAGGTGTGTACATAGTGCTGGTTAACACACAGAAGGGCATGATGGTGCCTGGAAGTTTGGGGCAAGCTGCTGATTATCCTGTAGTTAGACAATTTCTAACTTTCTCTGTCCCAGCAGAAATTTGGTCCTCGTGGAAAAACATTTTGCTCTTTCTCCAGGAATTTTACTGCAGTTTAAGACTTAAGAAATGGATATAGTATTTGGAATTGTTACAAATGATGTGCTTCTTCCCCAAAGGTTATGTCCACTGGGTTAGAATTAAGCAATATTCTGTTTGGTTCACTCTGTTCCCTTGGGGCATATGAAAAATGTTACAGTAAATACATTCTCTTCCTTCTACCACTGGAATATTAATAAGCTCCTTGAGGACTTAATACATTATACTTAAGTTACAAGTATTTTTGTCTGCTTTTTCATGTGGTCTCTCCAGCTCCTACACCTGTCTAGCACATAGTAGGTACTCAATACATACTTGTTGAATGAATCAAACATTGCTTCCTTAGTGGAGCCATATCCCGTGTACATTCTTCTCTGGAGCAAGGGTAGGGAACCTTTTTTTCTGCCAAGGGCCATTTGGATATTTATAACATCATTTGTGGGCCATACAAAATTATCAACTTAAAAATTAGCGTATTATAGTTGGTCAAACATTTAATTAACTCACCTCTAATGCCTTGGCAGAGCCAGACCAAATGGCTCGTGGGCCAGACATTTACCACCCCTGCTCTAGAGGAACGACCATAAACTGAGGCATCCTAAATGGATAAGATCTTATTGTATTAGAGAAACAGTAAACTCCTGAGGCCCCTGAGTGAGAGACTATGTTTCTATCCGTAGAAACTCATTTCTCATTGTTATTTGAACAGTGTTTCTTCCCTAGTCTATTTCTTGTTCTACATAAGAGAAGGTGGTTGGGCTTCCTGTTCGTCCTCTTGAGAACTCATGATAAAATTTTTGTATTTTTTCCTTTGTCTACAGCAAAGCAAGGACTCTGTTTGAAAAAAATGCTGCCCCAATTTTGCACTTATCTGGCATGGATGTGACTGTCGTTAAGGTGAGACTGCTCCAGAGTGTCGACTTGATCCCAGCTCCTACTCCTTGTAACATAGCCTCTTCTCCTGACTTGTTTGCAGAAATCACTTACCACTTACGACAAGAGCAGAGCAATCAATGTTGTGTACTTGTTCTGATAATTAAGGCAATTTTGTTTTTATAAAGCATTGTCAGCTTTTCATCTTCAGAAAAGGATTAGATGGAGGCATAAGCTTGATTTCCTTTCATGTGAAGATAGGACGTGGAATTATTGTCTCTTAGAAGATGAAAATAGCGTGTTTTTTCCAAAAAACAAAAAAACCCCTGCAAATCTGAGTAATTAATTTAATTTTTTGCTAGTTCCATAGACAGGTAAACATTTTTTCTCTGATGAGGTATTATCTCTGGGGAAGAATTTTAAATGGTAAAGCTTCAGAATTTGCAAGATTTAGGTAAGAAAAACAGGTGACAAAAATAAGTTTGAGGGAATTGTGTTGTCTCAGAAGATGCTTAAAGACTCCACTTTTGTTGACTTTTTAAAGTGATATGTGTGTGGTGTGTATAAGGAGTGCATTTTTGATGAAAATCACTGTTACCATATTGCTAAGTCTATGAATAACCTATTTTTAACATTACACACTTTCATTAAATAACAACGTAAAAGGTCAGTTAGTCCAATTTGCCATTTCGTGGTGAACTCTCTTCTCTAGCTTATCTGAGACTAAGTTGTCAGCCTCCATGATGGAGGAACAGGGTTGGGGGGAAAAAACTAACATTTATTTAAGTATCTGTAGTACATACTCTGTGTATTAGAGATCATAGAATGTTTACTTGACACTAGTACTACTTGTTCCTGGAATGTTTGGTTGAACTCACAAGTAAAACTATCTGGACCTGGAGCTTTCTTTGGGGATTTATTTATCTATATTAAATTTATTTAATGGCTCTAGAAGAACTCAAGTTCTGTTTCTTGAATTAATTTTGGAAAGGTAAGTTTTTCAAGGAATTTGTTCACTTCATCAGTGTTTTCAAATTAATTGGAATTGAGTTGTTCATAATATCTGAAAGCAATAAAAATATATCTTAATAGAACAAAAACTTCTATATATAATATCTATAATATCCTCTTTTTAACTTTTAGATTTCTGTAACATCTATACTATCTCATTTTCATGCTTAATATAATTTATTTGTCCCCTCTTTTTTTTCTTTCTCTCAATAGTTTTGTGAGAGGTGTGTCAGTTTAATCCTTGCCAAGAACCATCTTTTGGCTTGTTGATCCTCTCATTTGTTTCATTAATATCTAATTTATCTTTATTGTTTCCTTCATTCTACTTTCTTTGGATTTTTTTTTCTGCTGTCCTTTTTTGACATTTTAATGTGGATGTTTATTTTTATTAATTTTACCCTTCTGTCCTGCTATATACATTGAAAGCTATAAATGTACTCTAATTCAGCTGCATCCTAGAAGTTTTTGTTCTATTAAAACATATTTTTATTGCTTTCAGAGAAGAAGGGAGAGGGAGAGAGAAATAGAAACATCAATGATGAGAGAGAATCATTGCTCGGCTGTCTCCTGCATACCTCACTCTGGGGATTGAACCTGAAACCCAGGCATGTGCCCTGACTGGAAATCGAACTGTGACCTCCTAAGCTACGCTGACTGGGATGCATCCTAGAAGTTTCATTGCTAAGTATTTTCTGATTTTCATCATGATTTTTGTTTGACCTATGAATTAGGAAGGCATGTTTTTAAATTTCCAAATTTAAAGTTTTTCCAAATCCTTTTGCTAATGATTTCTGATTTTATTGGTGTTTTTGTCAAAGAGTGTAGTCTATAAATTCCAGTATTTTAAAATTTGTTGAGACTTGTTTTGTGGCCTAGCATATCGTTTGTTTTCATAAATGTCTCATGTATGCCTAAAAAGAATTTATATCAGTTACTGGAGAGCATATTCTGTATATGTGTCCATTAAGTCAAATCTATTGTGTGCCTCAAATCTATGCCCTTGCTGATTTTTTCTTCTGTTTAGCTATAGGTTTTTCAGAGAGAGAGGTATTAGAAATCTCCCATTATAATTGTGGATTTGTCTATTTCATGACATGGTTTTGTCAATTTTTGCTTTTTGTATTTTGAGACTATTAGTACACGCACTCAAGTTTCAGATTATTTTATTTTCCTTGCATTTTGATCCTATCACAGAGTGACTCTCTTTGGCACTAATCCTGTTTTTTGCCATAGTCTGTCTTACCTATTATTAGTAGTAATTGTACTAGCTTACTTTGGCTAGTTTTTGCCTGGCATAATTTTTACATCTCTTTACTTTCAGCCTTTTGTATCCTTATGTTTTAGATGCACCATTTGTAAAGGTGCAAAACAGGATATTTCAAAAATCAATTTTTTTGGCTTTGACTAGGCCACTTAATCCATTAACAATTATTATAATTGTTGATTTATTTAGATTTATTTCTATAGTAGTTATCTATTGCTATATAACAAACTGCCTGGACAACTATTTTTCTGCTTATGAGTCTTGGTCAGCAGTCTGTGTTCAGAGCTATTCTTTTGCTGGTCTAGCCTGGGCTCCTTACTGGCCTGTCTTTTCATGGCTTGATAGCTCATTTCTTTTTATCACTGAATAATATTCCATTGTATGGATGTACAACAGTTTGTTTATCCATTCACTTACTGAATGGTTGCTTCCAATTTTGGCAATTATGCATAAAGCTGCTATAAACATTCATGTGCAAGTTTCTCTGTGGACATGTTTTCTGCTCACTGGGGTAAATAACCTAACAGGGCATTTGCGGGATTGTATGGTAAGAGTGTGCTTAGCTTTGTAAGAAACTGCTGGGGAGCATTTAGGGTCTTGCTTCCCAGCATGTCATCAGTTTGACTCAAAAAAGTCATAAAAATTCCCCCCTCAAAAGAAAAAGAAATTGCCAAACTGCCTTTTCAAAGTGGCTGTACCATTTTGCATTCCCACCAGCAATGAATGAAATTTCCTATAGTTGTGTTGTCAGTGTTTTGGGTTGTAGCCATTCTAATGGGAATGTATGTTCAAGGGAGGGCAAAAGTGGGTTACATACAATATTGACCATATTTTCATCAGTATATTTTCCATCTGTACATCTTCTTTGGTGTGATGTTTGTTCAGATCTTTGCTCTTGTTTTTTGTTTGTTTTCTTACTGTTGATTTCTAGAGTTCTTTGTATATTGTGAATACACGTCATCAGATATGTGTTTTGCAAATATTTTCTCTTATACAGTCTTGTAAAGCTGTTTTGTAATTGTCTTAACAGTGTTTTTCCCAGAGCAGAAGTTGTTAATTTTAAAAAAGTCCAACTTGTCTGTTTTTCTCCCATAGATCTTGCTTTTTGTTGATTTATCTAAAAACTCATTGCCAAACCCAGGATCATCTAGATCAGTGGTTCTCAACCTTCCTAATGCCTCGACCCTTTAATACAGTTCCTCATGTTGTGGTGACCCCCAACCATAAAATTATTTTCGTTGCTACTTCATAACTGTAATTTTGCTACTGTTATGAATCATAATGTAAATATCTGATATGCAGGATGTATTTTCATTGTTACAAATTGAACATAATTAAAGCATAGTGATTAATCACAAAAACAATATGTACTTATATATGTGTTTTCCGATGGTCTTAAGCGACCCCTGTGAAAGGGTCGTTCGACCCCCAAAGGGGTTGTGGCCCACAGGTTGAGGACCGCTGATCTAGATCCTCTCCTGTGCAATTTTCTAGAAGTTGTATAGTTTTCTTTTATTTTACATTTAAGTTTACAACCCATTTTGAGTTAATTTTTAGGAAAAGTGTGAGGTTAATGTGTTGATTCATCTTTTTGCATCATTATGCCACTTTTTATCTTTCCTCTTTGGTGCATTTGGAATTTTCATCTTAAGATCAGAGCCCCAAATGTGTTATCCCTGTTCATGTAACCTTTTAAATTATGGTCTGTTAAATCTGTCAAGATCTTTTTGCACTTTGGCTCTTTCCTGCCTGTACTTTTTTTACAAATATTTATTGAGTGCCTACTATTAGGTAAGCCCTATCTGTCCTCAGAGAGCTTCCATTCAAAGTGTGAAAGGAAGGGATGCAGAAAAGAAACATACAAATAAACACATGATTTGTCCAATGATGATAAATGCCAAGGAGAAAAATCAAGCAGGGTAAAGAGACCAGGAGTAATAGGGATGTTAGTTTAGTGCAGAATACCAAGGAAGGCCCGTCTGATAAGATGACCTTTGAACAGAGACCTGAAGGGAATGAGTGAGTCATGCAGCTGCTCAAAGAGGGAAAGAATCCAGGCCGCGCAGACTTCACAGTCAAGGCGGGAGTGTGCTTGGGTGATTGAGGGGGAGTAAGGAGGCCATTGTTGTTGGAGTTGAATGAATCAGGAGAGACAGGGAGAGAGGGTGAGGTTGGACAAAGAAGGAGGGGCAAGATTATCAACTTTGTATTACTTTCGAATTCAGTAAATTATAATTTGCATCCATTGTTGATACAGTGTTGTATAGGAAGAGGCTGAAGGGAGAACCCTAAAGAGATGTCACTAAGACTCTACCTACACTTTGATGTTGCTTCTCTGAGCATCTCACTTTGAGCCTAGACAGTCAACTGGTACCTAATTTAATTGTATTCTAACATATTATTTCCATATTTTCCCACCTTGTCTCCAAGGATATTGTTAAATAGCTTGCCATGTGCCTTGCTGAAAACCAGTTATAATGTCTGTCTAGTTTCCCAGATCTATGGATCTAGTGACCTGTCAGAGATGAGCATGAGTCTGAAATGCGTCACTCTTAGCCAACCCATGCTCATTCCCAATGATCACCCATTTCATGGTGCTCACAAACCATCCTTTTAATTAGGATTGGCATATTTTTTAATGAAATATTTGAAAATATATAATTATAAAACCAGTCATTTCAATTTTTAGAATAAAAGTTGGACCATTCATCATAAAATTAATGGTGTTAGTTTAGGGACTTCCTTTTTCCTTTGTGTTAACTGACTTATTGGCTCAGGTGCTTTAGTCTCTCTGAAATCCAAATCTTTAATTTTTACCTATTAGTCTAGTATAGTGTCAGATGGAGGGAGTATTTCCTTATTTTAGTATTAGTTGCACTATGTCTATTAAAATTCAATGTTTGGTTTTAGAGGTGGTGGCTTAGATGGTCCATTAAGTCTGCGTATGTATCTGAGATAAATTATTATCAATAAAAATGGTGATGCCTAGGTGCGTCTTGGCTAATTTGAATCATACCTGTATTTTATGTACAATGTTCCTATGTACAATAATAACCCCCTTTGATTTAGTACAGTACCAGATATGAGTAGTTACTTTGCTAGTAGCTTTACAATGGCATTATGGGGAAGCTATGATTAGCCCCTCTCCTAACACACATACTTCCATTGATTAGGAAATTAAGATCTGAGAGTTTGAGGCTACTCAGCTAAAAAGTAGCAGAGTTGAGACTTAATCTAGGTCACTTGGGCACCCAAATCTGTGCTCTTTTCATCCCATTTGCTTCTCCTTCTTTGCACTTGCACTTCCTGCTTTCAGATAAAAGGCACTGGTAGATGATGTCATAGACTGCACTGGACTGGAAATGGGTTCTCTGATGAGCTTTCTGTTAACAGATAAATCAAGTAAGGAGCTGACTGGGTGGTTTCTGAGGTCCCTTCCAGTTCTAAAGGTATAAACTATAAAAACTGTACAGAGTTGCTTTGTTAGCTATTTAGTGTTTCATGTCTATCAATTATGTAGAATTTAAGAAAATACTCAATGTATTTAATAACCTGTATTTTTTAGCCTTTCACCAGTGGCCCTAGGATAATAAATTGACCCAAGGCTTCCTTTGTATTTCAGACAGATTATGAGGGCCAAGCCAAGAAACTGCTGGAAATGATGGAAAACACAGACGTGATCATTGTTGCCGGAGGAGATGGGACATTGCAGGAGGTATGGCCCTTTTCCTGTGTGAAACCATTTGGGTGAGGGAGACAGAAAGTTGATCTTAGAGCAGTGGCATTCAGTGGTTATAATTTAAGGAAATTATTTCTTTGTAATCCATTTGTGGGGATTGTTTCTGAAACAAGTATATCATTACTTTTTTTCTCATACACTGTTTTTTTTAGTCTGATAAAATTGAATAGAATAGGAAACAAAATGGTGGTGGATACGGTAAGCTTTTTATATTCTGAAGACTGTTATGGCAATCATAGTTTCAGTGATGAGGAAAGTTTCTTATAAAAGAAAGATTCCTTTAAAAGAGGCGTCTGTCCATTTTCACTTCATTTCTATCACATGTTTCATCTCCTGAGAGCACATTAGGAGGCAGAGGTCTCCATGTTCAGATGTATGCATCTGCCTTTGTTCTGAAGCTCCATATCCTTGGTGCTTACTTTGGTCCAATAAGGATAGGAAGTGTATTGTCCTGAACTGCTCTTCTTTTCTGAGCACTAGACCAGAACCTCCATTATATATTGGAAACTCCTCAAGAGCCTGGCACGGGCAGCCCTTCCACTCACCTTCCCATCCTGTGTACAATTCACATCTACACCTCTTCTCTCCTCCATTCGGTGGTTTCATCGGTGTTCAGGAATCAGGAGCTCACCGCAGACAGGGCACTGTCCTATGTGTTTGTTTTTTTAACTATGTTTTTATTGATTTTAGAGAAGAAGGGAGAGGGGGAGAGAGAGAAAAACATCGATGAGAGAAACATAGATCAGCTGCCTCCTGCATGCCTGCCACTGGGGATCAAGCCCACAACCCAGGCATGTGCCCTAATGGAATCAAATCCAAGACCTTTTGTTGCATGGGACAATACTCTCCCACTGAGCCACACCGGCCAGAGTTGTCCTATGTTTGACTCAACAATTATGTGAGCCTTAGTAAGCTTCTTTTTAAAAGGTTGTGCTAATGATCTTGTAATTGTTTTTATGGCTTTTTAATGAAGTGTGAAGAATACTGATAGCATGCCAACAAAGAATGAAGGAGACCTCCTGACAGCCCCATTTAATCCTAGAATGCAGTCAGGCAGGAGATGAAAGGAGAAGATGGGCATTAGCCTTTACTTTACAGAATCTTTTTAAGAAACACACCAAATTGTGCATTTGGTATGACCCAGTCATAAAAATATGCCCTAATAAAAAAGGAATATGAGGGCAATGTACCAAAATATAAATGACTGACTAATGATGGTTATTCTGCATAATGGGTTTATGAGGAAGTATTTTTTCTTAAGGTATTTTTCTGTTTTTACAAGACATATGTACTATAGTTTTAAAATGAAAAATAAATTATGTAAAAATTGAAATAAAAAGTATCTTTTCTTAGAGGGACTACTATCCCCCGTGTCTTTACCTTCATCAGTGAGAAACATTTGTGGAGAGCAGGCATCTCGGAGTGTAGCCACAGGTTGTGTTTCCTATATGTGCACTTCACTGTAACAGACTACGCTCTTGTATACAGTTGATGTGAGCACACATTTAGACCCATATTCTAGAACTAAAACATAATTTTTCTAATATTATATGGAGATTTTATAGCTATTTTAACTGAGTCTAGCCAGCATGGCTCAATGGTTGAGCATCAACCTATGAATTAGGAGGTCAGAATTTGATTCCTGGTCAGGGAACATACCTGGGTTGCAGGCTAGATCCCCAGTGTGGGCCGTGCAGGAGGCAGCCAATCAGTGATTCTCTGTCATCCTTGATGTTTCTGTCTCTCTCTTCCTCTCCCTTCCTCTCTGAAATCAATAAAAATATATTTAAAAAATTAATTATTGTATCTTAGTCTTGATTGTACTATGGGCCTTCGGTCAAGAATAACATTTAAGTTAGTTCTGATCCAATTAGAGAATACTGTGTGTTTCAATAGCCAATGCAGCTTTTGACATAGTTTCTAGGAAGAAAACTGGAAGAAGTTTGTAGTCCATGAAAATTGAATCCAGTTCTTTTATGATAAAGGAAATACATGTTCATAATTTTTCTGTAACATTTGTAGGTTGTTACTGGAGTTCTTCGAAGAGCAGATGAGGTGAGCTTTTAAGAAGAGTCATTGCATTTTACTTTTATGTTTCTGTTCTTTTTATATCTCTTTACTTCCTTCTTTTACCTTTTTCCCCATTTTGTATTTTAAGGCAGCACAAGTGTGGGTCCTTGGATTTTAGAAAGACACGTGGGGCTGCCTGTGTCCTCGGACACTTTTATTAGCCAGCGGCGGACTTACCTGCTTTGGGATCCAGAGTATCCAACAGCTTTCACCAGGAGTTGTTTAAAACATACAGCTTTTTATACAATCTTTTTCAGAGGATTCCTTTATAAATAAATATTTACATGGCGAAATCTAAAAAATGTTAAGTAAAAAAGGCAGGCTGCCAAAGCACATTATGCATCTCTGCAAAGTTTTAAAATGTAGAAAACAGATCTATGTTGGTGGATGCCTTATGTAGTGAAAGAGTAACAACACGATGGAAAGGCATCACACCCTTGGGACAATGGCTTCCTCTGAGAGCGAGTGAGAGAGAGAATAGGACCAGAAGCGACTGCAGTTATTTCTGTATCATTTTACTTCTTAAAACATCTGAAGCAAATATGGCAAAAAGTAACATTTGATAAATCTGGGTGGTGGGTGTATGAGTGTTTGTGACATTATTTTAAACATTTTTATACAGCAGTTTAACATATTTTACAAATAACAAGAAAGAAGACCCTTCCTGGTCCCTTTGGCAATAATAATAGATCATCTTCAACATAGTCTTTAGGGCAGTGGTTCTCAACCTGTGGGTCGCGACCCCTTTGGCGGTTGAACAACCCTTTCACAGGGGTCGCCTAAGACCATCCTGCATATCAGATATTTACATTACGATTCATAACAGTAGCAACATTACAGTTATGAAGTAGCAACGAAAATAATTTTATGGTTGGGTCACAACATGAGGAACTGTATTTAAAGGGCCAGAGGTTGAGAACCACTGCTAGGGCCTACAGTGTGTCTTTGTTTGTGGCATTTAATTCAGTGGCTGTGCCATTACTTTCTGCTATACAAACTTGCTGATCCCCTTTGCCCTAGTTATACTTGAGATAGTTTATAAAGCACTTTCCCTATCATTGGCTACTGTACATATGTTAGATGTTTTTAGTTGAATTTTATCTGCAACTTTTTCAAATAATGTGACAACATAACACACTGTCACAATTGTGCATTCATCTGTATCTTTAAAACCCTTCTTTTTTTGACCAGATTTCTTTAAAGCAGTTGCTAGTAATGAGCACCAAAATATTTCTTTCAAATTCAAAGTCCTGTCATTTTCCTGGACTGCCTCCTTTTAGAAATTGCTCCAGGCATGGCCCGATTGCTGGTCCAGGGCCTGGAAAGGGAGACAGGGAGGCGGGCCCAGGTCACTTCCAGTTACTTGTCTCATAGGAGACACATCTGTGCCTCTCTGTTCAGCCTGCTTTTCTGACCATGACAATAACACTTTCCTCTTCTTTCTCCCAGGCTGCCTTCAGCAGGATTCCCATCGGATTTATCCCACTGGGGCAGACCAGCAGTTTGAGTCAGACCCTTTTTGCCGAAAGTGGAAACAAAGTCCAGTAGGTTGACAATGTGGGCTGTGGCTGAGCGAGCCTGGGGATGGGCAGTTCCCCTGTCAGATATGAGATTTGTGTTCAGTTTTGATAGCCTGGATCCTCAAATCATTGAGAAGACCTAGATCAGAGACTAACCTGTCAGTTCATTGGGAAGGTTCCCTGCTGGGTTGTGGGACCCTGATGATCTGACATGAAGTCGCCAGGTCAGGTATGGAGGTGAATACCGAAATCCTTTTCAGTTGTAAGAATGGCCTCCCTGATACAAACTGTTTTCATACTTTTGCATTCTAAGATTCCCTAGTGAAAACAGATTTGCACTAATCATTTGTTTGCTTTAGGTATATCCGATGACAAATAGCAAGTCCCTTGTGAAAATGGAACAGTAGCCTTGGCTCCATTATCTTGATTGTATAAGTAGCTAAAACAACGAAATATAGTCACGTCCTTTAGGGAACGCCTGATGTGGAAGGTGTATGAATAAAGCAGGCAGAGGGAGCAGTGTAGCCCTAATGTCTAAATTAAATTGTTATTATTCATTTCTATCCAAAGCATTGTGTAAAAAAGCCCTTGCCTTCTGAGGAGATAGGAATCATGAGTTTGAGGTTTGAATTAGGGATTAATATGAACTGGAGCAGATGGTTCCCAGGCTTTCACGGTCAGTTGCCTGACCTTTACCGTAAGCTTGGTGACACCTGAGGGGCAGTCAGCTGATGAATATTTGTTGAATGACTTAATTAAGATCTTATGATGTTTCTGGTTATTATAACCATTTAGAATCAGTAACAATAATGATACTCAGGTGATTTTCTTTCAGTTTTTTTTTTCCTTTGGGATTTTGATTAGGCTTGTTTTGTGGATTTATTTTTGCTATTGTAATTTTAGGAGTCATCTTACATCTTTTCATTCTATATGTTCTCTCTCTATTTTTTATAAAACCTGGGTTCACATATCAAACACTAGACATAAACATAGACATATCAGAGCCTTCATTGAAACATTGCTTGCGTGTCAAACCTTAACTAATAGGGAGTGTTTAGCTCCTCACAGTCATGCTGAAGCCCGTTTCAGTTCACTGTCTTTTCATTCCCAGTTTAGAATTTCTGGGGCAGTAGATGTGGCAATGAATTACTCGAACAGTTTTGTTTAGCCAACATAAATCCCACCTGGTTTAGGTCTTGGTCGCTGTAGAGAGCTAGTCTTTCCCTTTGTATCAGTAGTGACTATTGAACTGCAGAGCCAACATTCTCAAACATGTCACCCATCAGGAGGGAGCCATGTCCTTGGAGAACCCTTGCCTGTCCAAAAGCCAGTTTGTGCCCAGCTCGGCCACCCTGAAGGTCTTCGTAGCCTTCGGCTTTGGGGAGCTTATTTTCCTGTAGTTATTATGTTGCTGCTTCTAGCTCTATTTAAAGATTGAGGAAACATAATTTAGAGCACACCCCAGGGCTCTTAGGTAATTAAGTCAGTCTGCCCTGGGTTCAGAATCGGGTGGAACTCTGCACATGGCAGATGCCTGAGGCTATTGGGAAGAACAGGCTTTGCTTTTTGTACTGCTGTCAAGATGTGTTGTCCCACAATTAGTGTGGGAGGAATCTTGGATTGGAAGATTGCAGGTAAATTATCATTAAAAAATAGCTGTAATGTGCTACGGTGCTGATCTGTTTAGAACTTGGCAGTTGTTGCTGGAGAATAAATTTAGGTTGCGTTTTAGCTGTCTTCTGCCAAGCAGTTTTGAAAAAAATATTAATATAAGAAGGCTTTTTTTTATAGTTGCAACATTTGTTGTTAAGGTCAGCCTCTCAGAAGCACGTCCTAAACCCTCTCAGTGTGCTAACTACTACGCAGAACACGTACAGTGACTCCGACCCTTCCTACTGACTTCCTTCACAATGAACATGTTCTGGGTCATCTAAACTTGTGGTACTGCATCTTGCTGTTTCCTAAATTGAATCTCATTTTCTAAACTGCTATCCACTTCATAGATAGTATCTGTATTGGGAGGAAAAAATGGGGTAAAGGCATTTCGATAAAGAAATATGAGAAAGTAAAATAGGTTGTTTCTTATGTCCCAACTTGCTTACTAAGGAACCCAGAATATAATCTAAGCATTTGCATTAATGTGCATGTTCTTGGGTTTTAAGGTCTCTGCAGTTGTATCTAACTTTGTTAGCAACACCCATTCAAGTGGATATGATTCCACCTGACCACGCCGGGGGGGGGCGGGGGGTCTGTGGGGCTGTGTCAGAGCCTCCACTGTATTTGTGTCAGTCGTTCTTTTATGCTTCTTTGCTCTGTGTTCTCAGTTTTTTGAAGGACTATGCATTTTTTTCCAGAGCCAATTATTAGTACTGTGGGTGGGGGAGAGAGAGAGAGAGTTAGTTTGTGTGTTGGGGGAGCTGTTGCTTATTTTTCACAACATGACCATTTCCTTCTTGTTATCTTTCAGACATATTACTGATGCTACACTTGCCATTGTAAAAGGAGAGACAGTCCCACTTGATGTCTTGCAGATCAAGGTAAGTCCTTTCTTGAGTTTGAAAATATTAACAAAGTAATACACATAAAGAAAACAAAATGTAACATTTCAAATGAGATCATGAAAACTGCAGTCCCTCTTCTTACCCTTTCCTACCCCAAGTATAACTTCCCAGGGAAAAAAATTTTGCCTGTTTATTCTAGCCACCACAAATAAATATGCTTATGATGCTATTTTTAAAAATTGTGTTAAAAATATACATAAAATTTACCATCGTAACCACTTTTAAGTGTCCAGTTCAGCACTGTTAAGTATAGAATACTAGTTTTTAATTTATAAATTTTAGACCTTATCTCTTGGCCTCTTTGTTATGCATAAGAATTGCTCTGCATCTCCTCCCAATATAGTTTTGTCACTATTTGTAGTTCCTTTATTGATTAACTTTGTACCTCAAGTATTTCTCTGCCTCATATGGCTGTTCTGAGTATTAAAAGAGCTAATAGCTCTGACTGGTGTGGCTCAGTTGGTTGGAGCATCGTCCCATACACTGAAAGATGGCGGGTTCCAGTCCTGGTCAGGGCACATACCCAGGTTTCAGGTTGGATCCCCAATCGAGATGTGTGTGGGCAACTGATCAATATTTCACTCTCACATCAATGTTTCTCTCTCTCTCTCTCTCTCTCTCTCTCCCTCTCCCTCTCCCTCTCCCTCTCCCTTCCTTTCTCTCTAAAATTAATTTTATTTTAAAGCATGCCCTCGGGTAAGGATTTTTTAAAAATGGAATAAAAAGAGCTACTAAATGTAAAGCACTTAGGACAGGGCCTGATTTCATCTTACCTATTTGCATGGTGGCCTCCTCTTCCTCCCATGTTCTGCGAATGGTAAAATCCTTCTTTTGTTCCGTCTGTTTTTTGCTGGGGCTTGTCATTCTTTGGAATTCAGGTTACTTGGTTATCTTGCAATCTCAGTCCGCAGGTGGGCATAAGAAGTATTATGATTTTGTTAGATTATCTGGCTTTTCCTCATTTTTACGATGGGAACAATGTTCTTTGTAACTTCTTACATCCTAGATGGGAGCAATATTTCCCATTTTCTATTGGGTTGTCTCACGCTGAGTGATTTGTAGATGAACTCATGAATTGTTTTAGAAATATATTTGTTGGCAATGCAAATATATTGCTTAGAACCAGTACCACCCAAAGCAGTGAGCATCCTGGCATCCAAATATGGTCTCTAAAGCCAGTCTCTAAGATGCGTTACCAGGACTCTGTGAAGGGCTGGCTTTCAGAGGCAGGGCAAGGAAGTACTCAGAAACTAAGAGAGGCAACACAGAAAGACATAGAAGACAGCCCGATGGTGCCCACCTGGCCAATTTTGGGGCAGTTGAAACATCAAAAAGAAGTATAATGCAATGGATTATAATACATTAAGTAAAAATGAAGAGTTCACAGTGATATTACAGAAGAATTGCCAGTTTGTAAATACAGAAAGAGTGATAGAGTGAGAGAATTACCATTTTGTAATCAATGAAGTCATTGAGATCCTCAGTAGCAGCTAGAACTATTAGATAAAGGGTTGTTAGGAAACAAATACTCTCACAGTATCACAGATTACTTAGTAATTGCAAAGGGAACATATGCCTTAATAGAACTGCTATCCTAAAATGTTGCTATTAGTTACATAGCGTAGGCTGTAGGCATATTTACAATTGGCGAACCCATGAGCTTGTGGCCTCTTTTCCTTTGTTCTTGATGTCTGGACTCTCCACCTCATTGGTCACAATAAACATGATTTAAGTTGCAATTGAGTCTTTGGCATATAATAAAGCTAAATTGTTCTCACAAAAATGGGAGGGCTGTGCTGAAATTCTAACCTAGCAGTTACTGCACATCAGCCTCTATGAAGATATTTAAAAATATTATTACTCAAGAAGGTGAATCTGGATATATCTTAATTGAGTGATTTAAAAGCTTGCTGCTTTTGGTACATGTGCGAGAAGTAATGCATTCCAGAGTAACTAGGAATTAACTGGGGGAGAGACCAAGATGGCGGCATAGGTAAACACCGCAGACTGCTGCCGCAAACAACCACTTCAAAAATACAACTAAAAGACGGAACGGACATCACCCAGAACCGCAGGAAGGCTGGCTGAGGAGAGACTCTTCAACTAGAAGGAAAAATAACAGCACACCGAGGCTCAGAGGAGGCGCAGTGTGGAAAATACTCAGGTGCGGAGGTGCGCGCGCAAAGCGGGCTGGTGGCTGAGAGCGCGGTTGTCGTTTTCGGTCAGGGGGGAGTCTCAGACTCTGAGCTCCAGATACGGGCGAATCGCTGGGGACTCGGACCCAAACGGGAGAAGCGGGAGTGTCTGGCATCAGTTGGAAGGCAGCTTTCCCTCCGAGGTTTGCAGCGGTTCCGGGGGTTCTGAGAAGCAGAGCCTCTGGGAACGGGACTGAGAGGGGCCATTACCGCTCCCTCCGCCCGCCCTGTTGAGCCCGCCCCGCCCAAGCCCTGCGCAGAGCCATTTGCCAGATCGCCTCAGGCAAAGGCTAGATTAGCACCTCCCCAGAGGACAGAAGTTTTCCGCGGCAGACACAGCTGATTCACACAGCCAGTCGGCCTGGTGGTCAAATCCCTCTAGTATTAACTACAACAATCAAGGCTCAACTAGAACAAGACTGCGCACAAAGACCACTAGGGGGTGCACCAAGAAAGCATAAAAAATGCGGAGACAAAAAAACATGACAGAAATGGAGGATATAGAGCTAAAAAACGCAATTTTGAGGGCTTGCAATAAACTTTTGGAGAGCTTCACGAAAACTAATGAGACCCTCGATGCTATGATAAAGAAACTAGAAATTAAGCATACACGCTCTGAAATAAAGAATATTACACCCAATAGCAGACCAGAGGAGCGCAAGAATCAAGCCAAAGATTTGAAATGCGAAGAAGCAAAAAACACCCAACCGGAAAAGCAAAATGAAAAAAGAATCCGAAAATACGAAGATAGTGTAAGGAGCCTCTGGGACAGCTTCAAGCGTACCAACATCAGAATAATAGGGGTGCCAGAAGATGAGAGACAGCAAGATATTGAAAACCTATTTGAAGAAATAATGGCAGAAAACTTCCCCCACCTGGTGAAAGAAATGGACTTACAGGTCCAAGAAGCGCAGAGAACCCCAAACAAAAGGAATCCAAAGAGGACCACACCAAGACACATCATAATTAAAATGCCAAGAGCAAAAGACAAAGAGAGAATCTTAAAAGCAGCAAGAGAAAGAGACTCAATTACCTACAAGGGAATACCCATACGACTGTCAGCTGATTTCTCAACAGAAACTTGGCAGGCCAGAAGGGAATGGCAAAAAATATTCAAAGTGCTGAATACCAAGAACCTACAACCAAGAATACTTTATCCAGCAAAGCTATCATTCAGAATTGAAGGTCAGATAAAGAGCTTCACAGATAAGGAAAAGCTAAAGGAGTTCATCACCACTAAACCAGTATTATACGAAATGCTGAAAGGTATCCTTTAAGAAGAGGAAGAAGAAAAAGGTAAAGATACAAATTGTGAACAACAAACATGCATCTATCAACAAGTGAATCTAAGAATCAAGTGAATAAATAATCTGATGTACAGAATGAACTGGTGATTATAATGAATCAGGGACATAGAAAGGGAATGGACTGACTATTCTTGGGGGGGAAAGGGGAATGGGAGATGCGGGAAGAAACTGGACAAAAATCGTGCACCTAAGGATGAGGACAGTGGGTGGGGAGTGAGGGCGGAGGGTGGGGCGGGAACTGGGAGGAGGGGAGTGCATTTATCATTCTTCTAAATTTAACTTTGCACAAGTAACCCATGTAAAAAATCTATATTTTTCAAAACTTGTAAATAAAAATAACCTTAACTAAATAAATAGGAGGGGAGTTATGGGGGGGGAAAAAAGAGGAACAAATGTAACCTGAACAATAAAGATTTAATTAAAAAAAAAAAAGGAATTAACTGGAAATTATTTTATTATATATCCTGGTATGTATATTATTCATACTTTAAGGAAGGTCCATCACAGAGCATAAACTCTCAGAGGTGGCTCCATTGTGTATGTTTTCTATACATTGCTTATGTCACTGACTTACTAGAAACTTGCTGATTATAATATGTATATGCAGTATTTCGCCATAAAGCATTGGACCAAATCCAAATCACTTTGTGTTCTGACTTATTACAACAAGTAGCAGGCTGTATTTTCACATATTCAGGTGAAACATTGTAGTGTGCCAGGATTCTGATCTTACTTGAGAGCCCCTGGCCCTTTAAAGGGGATGCAGGCTCAAATCCTCTTGGGCTCAAGCAGGTGTATGAGAGCAGAAGTTCTGGCTGAGCCGACACCTAATGGGTCCAGGAACCAGAATAGTTAAGTACTCCTTAATTTCCAGGCTGAAGTATGATAACATGTTCCCTTGCCAGCCGGTTTATGAGCTCTAATATATAAAAGTTAGTTTCATTTAGAGTATGTTTTATTCAAGTACTTTTCCTGAACACTCACAGAGTTGATTTCTTAAATTGTGAACATCCTTTTAGAATTTGTTTGATGAAAAGTAGGCCGTGTTCATTCCCTGGGTACTTACCTGTAGACAGTTCCAAGTTATTGTCAGCATTACTTTAAAATAAATGTGTTTTACTTCCAGGGTGAAAAGGAACAGCCCGTGTTTGCAATGACTGGCCTTCGGTGGGGATCCTTCAGAGATGCTGGCGTCAAAGTTAGCAAGTAAAGGATTACTGTATGGATTGCGATGACTTTTATAAAATCTTTTTATTCTGTTCCTGTCTCTCAGGTGTCACTATACATTGATCTTCCAGGAATGGATCTGGTGGGTCTGGAGGTTGACTTATCTATAAATAATAGAGTCAGAGGTTTGCATCTTGTGCTGAAAGGTTGGGGGAAGTTCGGGTTTCCTCCGCGCTGGCTTGGTGGTGGCCGAGGAGGAGAGGGGGACCTGTTTCTAGAGGTACTGCTTCAGGCTCACGCTAGACTGAAGGGGAACGGATGGCCTGTCACCCTGCACCTGCTTATCTGGTACCAAGTGACAGGCACGGCTGGGGCCAAAGCCGCTTCCCCAGCCCTGGCCGGAAGACTCCCTGAGAGCTGCCCTGGAAGGCTGGCAGGTTGGGAGACCATGGCTGCCTCTTGGAAGGAAAGTGGCTGCTTGGCTGTGTTGTGAGACAGAAGAAGTAGACCTGTTGGGCAGTGACTAGAGGGCCGTCGCTGGCTTTTAATGGGAATGGATTTACTTTTGGAAAATTCATGTGTAACATGGAACTCTTGGCTGGGAGAAGGGCTGCATCCTGTCTGTTTGACGGGGAAGGAAAGGGCAGGCAGAGGCCTCCTGAGACGGGACCCAGGGAGCCGCTGTGTGAGGCTCACGTCACACCGGGTGGGTGTTGATTTTTACCTTTTCTTAAAAACAGGCTTACAGCTTTAGTATAGTTTGAATGGATTATGATGGATCTCACACACAGCTTTTATCTTTCACTTCATGGGCATTCCTGCCACAATTTCTCTGCAGATTTCTCTTGCTGTTCACTCATTATTCCTGCTAATGATGTTCCCTGTTGACAGTGGAATGTCAACAGAGATGTTACTGTGTTGTTTCACACTCTGCGTTATTTAATAGTTCCCATCTTTTTATTTGCAAGTCTGCCAGGAGTACCTTGTGCTTGATCTGTAATGTCAAATAATACCAGCAATTCACCGAGAGGAATTGCTTAGTTTTTCCAGAAAAAGTCTGGTGAGGACAAATTGCTTTCAGATGTGTTGATCGATAGTTACACACAACCATAGGTCAGCCCTTTTAGGACTGTCTCACACACTTGCCCATATTTTGATTGATTTCTGAACAATGGATTTTAAAATTCCACTTGTTATGTAATACCTCAACTAGGGCCATCCTCGCAGTTGCTCTGTGTATGAGGAAACTATAAAGAGGGAAGAAATGACTTCTAACTGGCCATGCAAGGTGACCAACATAGTGACAAAATTTGCTCTTGGTAGATATGAAGGGAACTGCAGACATTTGGAAATAAAGTGCCTTCATTGGGATGTATTTCTATCTGGCTATCCAGGAGCCGAAGCAAATCATAACATTAGCTGAAAAATGCTTAGAATGGCTCCCCATTGCTCCCTGGATTGTCTTCTCATTCTTGCATTCGAGGCCCACCTTCCTCCATCACCGCCCCTGATTGCACAGTTATGTATATTTCCTTTTAAACTTTTGCTCTGGCTCTTATCCTCACCATTTCCTGCACCCTGGCCACTCCTTTTGCCTGGAATGAGTTCTTTCCCTCCATCATGTATCTAAGCCCAGTGCCTCTTTCTAAAGTACACACTATACTGTGTGCTTGTGCCATTTGCTGTACAAGCATGGCTGTTCCAGTGATTTTAAGCCCTTAATGATTTCGTATCCCTTCTTGACTCTCCTTTCCAATAAATAGTAATCAGTTTATATGATATCGTATATATTTATATAGTTGTCTACTGTTTTCTGTTACTTTTTTGGACCATATTTTCTCATAAGCCCTCAAAGGCAGGAATTTTATACTCTATATTTCTTTAGTTTTCTCCACAAGCACTAAATAAATGCGTATTGACGAGAATCAAATAGGGAGCAGTTAAGATGGGCTGGTTGTGACATATAAATTTTAAGAGGAATCTAGTTTTTACCACTTTTCCAATTCTAAGGAGGCACCTTTCTCTCTTCAGCAGCTTTTATGTATTTAGCAATATGAAGTAGACCCTCTTCACTCCCAGGTTCTATATTTGCCGTTTTAAAGTTGCATAATAAAAACAATGTGAAATTATGCTGCTTCATAAATTTTAATGGTATGTTTGTGTGTGTGAAGGCACATTTAGCTTGTGGGTAACACATCACGTCACCAGCATTGCATCTCACTGTGGCTTTGTCATTCTCTACTCAGTGCTCCTTGGATGTGTACTCAACTATATTCTGTGGTTAAGGATGCATTACAGCAATACTTGTGAATTTAGAGATTCAAGGAGACTCTGATTATATATCCCTCCTAAATTGCAAGGATCTAGCTCCTGTGTAACTAATTGCGTACTGTTTGACATGGCATTGAAATTCAGATTTAAAATGTTCTATAATACTCTTTTATGCTAAGCCATAATCCCCAGGCCTCAGAGCAGACACTCATAGGAGGGGTGTAATTTCTATCATGTTGATCATTCCTTTAATATTCTAATTAGATTTTTATCTTGATCTTTCTCAGGTACTGGTATCTTGGGCCCCTAAAAACCAAAGCAGCGCATTTTTTCAGCACTCTTCAGGTAAATGCAATTTACAATGTAGAAATGTTCCCTGAGTTATTTTGTTGTTATACCAGGATGTGCATATTTGGATATTTAAAAAATTCTTTGTATCTGACAGATGTATCTGACATGCTCCAGGACTAAAATGAGGGGTATTTACTTACATACAAGTTCAGAAAGCATTCCTCATGTGCCAACTCATTCCTTCCATTACCAAGCCTATAGTTAATTTCTTTCTTTTAAATTTTTAAAAAAAATAAGTTTTTATTGATTTTAGAGAGAGGAAGAGAGAAGGAGAGAGAAAAAAACATCAACGAGAGAGAAGCATCAATCTGCTGCCTCCTGCACACCCGCTACTAGGGATCAAGCTGAAACTCGGGCATGTGCCCTGACCGGGAATTGAACTGGCAACTTCCTGGTGTCTGGGACAATACTCAACCAACTGAGTGACACCGTCCAGGCGTTCTTTTTTATATAGACAACTTTCCATTGTCTTCATTCACTCACTCTGGCCGGACAAACCTTGAACAGAATGACCTATATCTCATCAATCATTTGCATGTCTGAATTAGTATCTAGAAATGAAGATTTGTTTCTGAATATATCTTATCATACAGGTTTGATATATTTCCCTGATTAAGACTCAAAAAGTCCCCACCAGTGTAATATAACAGGTTTCAAACCATGCTAACCAAATACGGGTGGTGGTTACTGTATTGGCCGGTCCAGATATAGGACATTTCCATCACCAGAGGAGGTTCCATTAGTGGTGCTGCTATAGGCTGTATACTGAAAAATGTTCACATGGAGAAAAACTGAACGATGTGTGTTAATGAAAATGCTAATATGTGTCATCCTTACCTGTGGACTACACAGTGTTCAGCTTTTATGCAAATCGAAGTAGTATATTCACAGTTTGGCTGGCTGATCTGAGGACGGGCAGATGAAGTGAAAAGTTTGGTTATGTTAATATTCAGATTATCATGTGGTTTTCTAATTATGGAAGTAGTATATGTCCATTGCAAAACATTGCTCCCTTTACCTTCCAAATAAATTTCGGTTAGTAAAATGCATAATTACTATTGCTCAAAGGAATAATTTCATTGGTGGAGTAGTGAGTGTACGGTATTTAGGAAGAAATCTAGTAACTAGTAGAACCTGGGAAAATCAAACTATTCCAACCATTTCTTTAGCAAACCATTATTGAATCTCTGTTGTGTGACCAGCCCTTCTATGTGCTTGGAATACAGTTCAATAAGACAGGTTTCTGCCTTCAAGAAGTGTGCATGTGCTGAGAGTGAAGCACAAGTAAATCAATTTGGCAAGTGTGATGAGAGAAACACAGAAGAACTAAGATGGAGGAGAGAGGAGGGTACCCACCTCTGACTGAGGGCCAGCAGTCTTCGCAGCGCAGGTGCCACTTCTAAATATTGAAGTATCTGTAGGACTAGATAACGGGCATTCTTGGTGGAGGGCCAGGGTGTGTGAAGTCACAGCGGTGAAACCTGGTCTTTCATTATGGCAGTAGCATGGCCGGAAAGGGACTTTGAATGTTAGGTAGGGGCAGTTTATGGCAGGTGGGATCTGACATTTATTGATAAAGCACTGGTGGGGACTTATTGAGTCTTAGGGAAATAACAGAAATCTTTTGGCAGCAGTGAGGACAAGAGATTGTGTGGGTAGCTAAAGGCAAGGGCATCAAGGGTGAGAGGTGGTCATGAGGTGTAGACTGGGGTGGTAACAGTGAGCATTGACAACAGAGATGGGTTAAAGAGATATTAAGGTGGAATCCTCAAAAGTTGGAAGGAGAGTCTAGGATTCTGAGAGTTCTGGTTTTGAGGGACTACAGTTTAATAACTAAGAGCTTTCCATTAATTTTGATAATATTGGCTTAAGATCAAGTGTGTGAAGATGAAATTTTCAGTTTGGCACATACTGAGTTTACCATACCCCTGGTACAGACAAGTGGAGGTACAGTTGTGACTTAGGTCTAGAATTTGGCAAAGAGATGTGGGCTGAAGAAATAATTTACATGTCTGAAGTGTATGAGTAGCACTGAAACTATGGGTTTGGTGATGTTACCATTGAGAGAATAGATGGTGAGAAATAGCCCTTAGGAACCAGGGAAGATGCCTGAGAAGTGCTAAGAGGAAGTGGAGGAGAGAGTACTGATATAGGAGCCAATGGAAGAGACACTTTCAGGAAGAAAGTGAGATTTTAAGAAGCAATAACGAAGAGTCTAAGTAAAGACAGGAGAGTATCCATTGAATTTGGTAACCTCTGAAGGTTTGGTAAGTGGAGGGGCTGAGCCATACTGAAGAAGGTTAAGGAATAAACAGGAAGGTAAAGTGGAGACACCAAGGGTAGGCAACTCCTTCAAGAAGCTTGACTTTGAAGGGAAATGAGAAAGGCAAAAGCTAGTGAGAAAAATAGGATCAAAGGAGTGTTGATTTTTTAAAATGGAAAGATATCCATGTCTTTACACCATGAAGCAACAGAAAAAAAGGGGGGGGGGTGAACGAAAGGAGAGAAAAAGCATGACTGAGTTGGCAGAATCCGTGAGCAAGTAGAAGGGTATGGGACCTAAAGTACTGGGTTATCCTTGGACAGAGGAAGGGACACTTCTTCCTTGAGACAGGAGAGAAATGAAGGAGTGGTCCAGATGAAAACAAACAGGGAGAGTTAAGGCAGTTCTCACTGAGATCCTGGTATTCTCTCTGAAGTGTAGGAAGCAGCGTGACCTATTGAAAATGAGGTGATGATGGTATGGGGAATTTAAAGATAAAGAAAATAGGGAGGTTTAGAAGGATTATCGAGTGGCACTGAGGACCTGTGACCAAGAATTGGTTATGACACAGATATGCTTGCTTGGGTGATTGTTTTCCCTGTATCAATGCTCAGCAGGAATATTTTCCCCTCCAATAATGCTGAGCCTTGATGAAGTAATACAGAAACCTAGTGACAAGATTGATCCAGAATTGGAGCTTCTCAGGGCACATATTGTGGAAGACTAAAGACACGAGAGGGCCAAGAGTGATGGAAAAAGAGCATTAAAGTAATTAACTGATAATTAGGCACTGAGGGAAAATGGTGTGGCCAGGGACTGGACTTCTCAATGTGATAGAAAACTTGGGTGTGGGTAGGATCTTGAGGGGCCAAAAAATTACTCCCCTTTCTTCCTCTTCTGAGTTTGAACCAAGTTATAAAAACAAACACAGGAACAGGCAGATGGAGATGAAAATATTAGCTTTAGAAATGTCAGCAGGAGTGATGGACACAGCTGAGATGTGTGGTCACTGTCTGATTTCTCAATATCCCAACTGAATTTATCCATTCAACAAATCTCCATCAGTGCAGACTGCCATAGTATGCTCATGGCGTGATAAAGCAGCACAAGTGTGAGTCAGCACAAGTGTGAGAAGAGGGGCTGGGTCCATGCAATGAAGAGAAGTAAGAGGTGGAGTGAGAAAAGAAAGAGTTGTTACTCTTTTGTAATTCACCCGTGAAAGCTTAAGAACAGGGATTAGTTTGCCCAAAAAGACATATTGGGCACAAAAGAATCAACCAGATAAGTAGATTATGGGGTGTGATTACAGGGGTATAGATGCCCAAGATGGAATAATTTTGGGTGGCAGGAAGGACCGGATGTGGCTGTGGAAATGAGCAGCTGTGGTGAATGAGAGGTGATGTCGAGGGCTAGGCTGTTGTTTTAGTAGTTCCTGTGCAAACTGTTGAGACTCAGGACGACACTGGGCTTGGGGTGCAGGAAGTAGAAGACAAAACACCTAGAGTGTGAGAATGATGATCTTTGAAGCAGGAGTGAGGAGCCTGGAGCTGGGTTGCAAGGCTGGGCTACACCATTCTGGCCGCTGTGGGAAGATGATTCCAAAAGTGAAGAAAGTATTGATGCAGCTGAATTCATCAGTTTCTTTTATGTGTCATCATCAGTAGACCAAAGATAAATTTATCCTGGGGTAGGATCTATGCTCATTCATATTGGGGTTTGTGGACAAGTATAAGCAATTGTTGATAGTCCACTTTGATCTCCTCTCTGCTCCACGTGACAGATCAGTGGAGGCAGCAGTCACTGAGTTCATGGTTTTCAAGATAGGCCTTTAATAGGAAAAGAAAGCCTGAGGACCATGCTCCAAATTAGAGACAGATCCATCCAGGGAGAAATTAGTTGCCTTTCTAGCAGGTGTAGGCAGAATACTAATCTTTGCATAGAGAAACTCCCAGAGGTTGGAATTTTGTGTTCATGACGAATGTTTTTCTCTCTTCACTTTAAAAGGAGTGGCCTCAGACTCATCAAGCCTCTATCTCGTACATGGGACCTAAAGAGAGACCTCCCAGTGGAGCAGAAGAGACCCCTCCACGGCCCTCTCTGTACCGGAGAATATTGCGAAGACTTGCATCATACTGGGCACAACCGCAGGACGGTGAGCAGCGGGTGGTCGAAGATTGAGAGCCCTGGTCAGTTCAGGACTGCCTAACGCAGACCCCAGAATCAGTGTCAGGCTGACCTGGAGCAGATGCCTTCCAAGGACCATTGCAGTCAGCCTTCTGTGCACCACAGAGCAGGGCCCAAGCCAGGACAACGTCCCATGAGTGGGAACACCCCGTGTCATTTAAGACAAACAGTGGCTCCCTCTTTCAGTCACTGAGCTTTATGTATCTCTGGCTGTGTTGGTAGGATGTTTCAGGCATAGAGACTCCATTCTGAGCCTGGCCTTTTATCCCGTGTGTAAGAAGTATGCAATGAAGAAAAAGGTGGAGTCAGCAGACAGGCAGAAGCCAGCTAGCAGCTGGCAGCTGGCCGTGGGTGGTGGAGGGTGAAATGTTAATGGGAGAAATTGACCTGTGTCTAATACATTCACACAGGCCTTTCCAAGGAGGTGAGCCCTGAGGTCTGGAGAGATGTGCAGCTGTCCACCATTGAACTGTCCATCACGACACGGAACAGCCAGCTTGACCTAACGGTAAGTGTGCTTTTTATTGGTATCTGGGAGAAGTGACAAAGGTGACATGCTCTTCCACTAATTCAGTATTTTTACTTTTACCCTGTGGCAGTAGAGAGGAAGGAAAAATAGCAATGAGAAGAAACAACTGAGCAAAGTAGTGGCTGAAAGCTTAAGGGGCTTGATCACATATTCTGGTCACTGCTTAGAAAGACTGAGGGCCAAAGACCTTTAGAATGAAGAGTTAGCTTGCTCTCATTTGTCACAGGAATAAAAAGTCATGGAACTTTCACTTGAGTGACTATATTAAATATGTAGGTTTAGGTCCCCAGGAGAAAAAAACTCTATACACACACACACACACACACACACACACACATACACACACATACACACTCACACACACATTTATGTATATGTATACACAAACACCTATCTGTTTACATATTATTTTAGTCCAGTCTATTGATATGCACTGTCCTATATGGTAGCATGTGGCAGTTTAAACAAATTAATCCCAATTAAATAAAATTGAAAACTCAATGGCCCTATGTGGCTGGTAGCTACCATACTGGAAAGCAAGATCTAAACCGTTTCCATTACTGCAGAAGGTTCTAATGGATAGTGCTGCTACCAACAATACACTAAAAAATTCTGAAATAAAGCAGAGGTTGGCAAACTGGTCTGCTACCTGTTTTCGTATAGCCCACAAGCTAAGAATTGATTTTACATTTTTAAATGGCTGGAAGAAAGTCAAAATAATTAATAATTTGTGATAATGGAAAGTATATGAAATTTGAGTTCAGTGTCCATAAATAAAGTTTTATTGGAACACAGTTGTATTCATCCACATACATGCTGTCTGTGGCCAGTTTTGTGCTGAGTAGTTGTGACAAAGACTATGACCTAAAAGCCTCCAACATTTGCTATCTGGCCATTCACAGAAAGTTTACTGGCCCCCGATATAGAGAAAGCCTTAGTAGTGTATATTAATGAGAATGCCAACAGAAAAGTTAACCTGAACTCTAGACTAATTATTATAATCAGGTTTTATGCAAATCAGAGTAGTGTGCTTACAGTTAACCTGGTCAGTCGGGAAACGGGCACATGGAATTGAAGGCAGTGATGAATGTGTGAGTGGAGTGCGAGGAATGCACTGAAAATTTTTATCCCAATGTTAATACTCAGAGTATTGAGTTGTTTTCTGATTATAAAAGTAATGCATGCTTATTGTATAACATAGCTCCCTTTACCTTCTAAATGAATTCCAGTTGGATTAAGAATTAAATGTAAAGAAATAGGACCATTAAAGCCCCAGACCAAAATCTAAGTGATTATCAGTATAAACTTGGGGAGGACCAGGCCTTTCTGAGCATGGAACCCAAGGCAAAAACCATACTGATGTATTTGTCATGTTTTATTAAAAAGAAACTATAGGCAACATGTTTAATGACAAATTGTGGGAAATAATAGAATGTGATAGACCAGGCGTTAATAGCTTTCCTTTGTAACAGACTCCTTTGGATAAATCAATAAGAAATGGGCAAAGGACTAAAATAGATAATAACCGTAACCGGTTTGGCTCAGTGGATAGAGCGTCGGCCTGCGGACTGAAAGGTCCCAGGTTCGATTCCGGTCAAGGGCATGTACCTTGGTTGCGGGCACATCCCCAGTAGGAGGTGTGCAGGAGGCGGCTGATCGATGTTTCTCTCTCATCGATGTTTCTAACTCTCTATCTCTCTCCCTTCCTCTCTGTAAAATCAATAAAATATATTTTTAAAAAAAAATAGACAACAAAGGGCAAGAATAGAAATTCACAAAAGAAATAAAGAGGAAAAAAAAAAGCTTATATTTCCTGAATATATACTACACGCTATGCCCTGTCCTTAGAATTTTACATTATCAACCTTCATGTCTACATTAGTAGGTAGATATAACTTTTAGCTGTATTTCATAAGTAAGGAAACAGAACAGGTACTCAACATCCAAGAAATGCAAATTGAATAGTAACTACTGAACTGTCATAGATTAAAAAGCATGCTAGTGTTCAGTGTTGGTGTGGGTAGGGAAATGGGCAGTCTTGCGTATTTCTGATGGGAATATAAATCAGAACATCCTTCCTCAATGGCATCTTGGCTGTATATATGAAGCATCTAAAATATAATCATACCCTACAGAAGTCAACAGACTAATACTTCGTGTAGACAGCCCTTATTTCTTACAGCATGGACTTCTGGAAACATAGGTGAATGTGAATGTATTATGGTTTTAAAAGATAGATTCTGTTCTAGAGGGATTTAAAAAAGAAAGATAAGATTTCTAATTGTACATGTCCTTTATACCCAATCTCTGATAGTATGTATTTCCAGTATTTTGTTCATATTCTTTAACACCGTTCTTTTCTCTGATGATTGAATACCAGTGAACTGATTGAGTTCAGTGAGTGTGCGATTGTGGCTCAAGATAAGCCACATGAGCAAGCTGAGTGCTTTTATCTCTGTGGCAATTATAAAAGTATATGATACTGTGCTTCTTATCACTAGTAGCAGCACATTCATTTTTTCCCATACCTCTTTATAAAAATAAAAGCAAGTGCAATAAAATATTCAGAGACAATGAAGCTGCCAAGTCATAGCTCAAAATGTTCCTTTATCATTTAAAGACGTATATTCAGAGTCTCAAAGAAGCGTTAGGGGTGTGGAATGTGTGAAAATTAGGATCTCTTGTGCAACTATGCTCAATGTATAACAGCAGAACACATGAAACAAGCTAATCAGGGGACTGATTCAATCCACTTATTTAAACGGTTGTCTCTGTATTTACTGACATGGAACGATGATCATCATGTATTGTTAAATGGAAAACCAGGTTAAATTGATTTGCACCAAATGCTTCCATTTTTATTTTGAAAAGAAATACTTCCACCTATAAAGCAGTTTTATGAATGGTAGAGGTAAGGCCCCAATTTTATATTCTTTCCATGTAGAAAGCTAGTGTTGAAGAACCACTTATTCAAATGTCTCCCCCTCCTCTCTCTCT